ATACTAAAAAACACTCAGAAAGCCGTTGCAACCATACAACAATGTCCTGGCAACCACCACAGCATTGTGGCGGCAAATTATGTAAAGGCAAGCACCACATTTCCATCAGAAAGTAAACAGAGCTACAAGAACCTAGATTATCCTTGTATTGAGTATTACATAAACGTTATGTTTTATATATTTGGAATAACTTTGTCATTCAAATGATCAGTTCTTGAATCAGTTTCTCAGCACAAATCGCTAACACAACCAGACAACTAGGCTGCAAAACCACACAGCCTTCACCATTTCCATGAAATGGCGTCATTACAGGGATGCCAAATCGAGACCCAAAGAGCCCCAAGGAAGCTTTGCACCACACACTGTAGTGTGGTCATTAAAGTCATGTTTCCGCTATGTAATTATCATCTTCTATCCTTGTTTATGGAGCAACTAAAGACTAAACTGATGCCAAATATATTTATAAACTGTATTTTGCCAGCTATTTTCCTAAATTCAAGTGCCAAGCTTGATATATTCATATGGCAGCACATTGAAAATCATGATAATCTGACACATGCGTAGGATTAGAGAATCATAACACCGAGGTGGTTTGAGCCAAACTTGGCTGCATCTAAACTTCCAGTGTCTTTATCTGCAATAACCCCCACATCTCACTTCCTGTTGCTCTTTTTCACCTTCTCAGAAGCGACACAGAGGAAGCGTGGAAAGCATTTTCACTTCCGCTATACAGCAGAACACATGCAGTCAGGGCAACATGCAAATGAACACACTTCAGGGCTCAACACGAAGGATGGCGATTGTAAAGACAGGGATGGACTTTTAACGTCTTACCGGTATATCAGCCCATATGAATTTAGATCTGTAATGGAATTACATTTTGGGATTTTTTTTTTCAAGAAAAGTTCATGTTTAATGAAAAAATATGAATACATTTTTCTGACACTTCAAAATATGTTTCTAAGAATAGCTTCTTTCACTATGACTTTCTCTTTAATATGCACAAATACAAAAACTCTCTGTGTAGAGACAACAGGAGATGTGTTGTTGAGATCTGCTCTATTTTCAGCTGCAGAAACAGGCCATTACACACCCACTCACTTCAAACTCATTTCATCATCCGTAAAAAACGATCTCTGCTGTGCCAACTCGCCACAAGCCATCAGTCATTTTTTAATTTGGCTGCACATTTACTGCATGCCAACCATTTGTTTCAATTCACTTGTTTCCTTTTATTCATCTCAAGACATTTGAGAAGAAACATTTAAGCCCAAGGTGAAACATCTGCTGAGCTATGAAAGAGAACATTCTAGGCAATTATACTTTCTTAAGGGATATTACATTTTTTCCAATAATTAGTTCACCAGTGAACCCCCAGGTTTCCTTCTCTTGAATAAATAAATAAATTTGAGAAAACCAAATGTTTCAATTTGCAAGGCAAAAAAAAAAATCACATGCACAAGATCAGGAATGTAAAATTTATAACAGAAGTGGCCTTAAAAACTCTCATACTGGCACCGGGCCACCCTTATTGAGCTCTTTTATGAGAGCATTGATTGAATCTATGAGGATACAATGTTGAATTCTCTTAACTGTGAGATGTTGCCTCTTTCTAGATCGCATGCACAACCACACAGCTCTTCTCTCACTGGAAAGAGAACACAACAGCTGGTGACAACAGTGCTGTCTGTGTTATGGCACCGCAAAGCTTGGGGACGAGATTGCTGAGCGCTGGCACAAGCAGGGATCTGGATGTAGCTCATCACAAATGAGGACATTCCCCGACCTCCCAGCGCCGCTCCATGCCAAAGCCAAACTCTCAAACACTAAAGTCATTGTTGACATTCATTAGGCTACACGACCTCCTCCCCCCAACTCCCCGTCCCCTATGGCCAATAGAAGTGAGCTGGACTTCTTTCTTAGCCAATGAGGGCTAGGGTTTCTTCACTTTTGACAACTGGAGCACTGCAGGCTCTTCAAAACAAAGCAGACTGACTCCTTAAGAGTCATGGGTCTAAAATGAGGAACTGCTGATGTCGCACAATAAATGAACTGCGAAACTGAAATCTAGTTCCTCGTGACAGCATTTTAACCCTGATGTTTAAAGTCAGCATGAAATGCAAATTTGTACATGCATGCATTGTCCAGGTTTTATTTTTTAAATGTTTTTTGACCTTGTAAAATGCATTCAAAATATCATAACGTGATCTTCCGTTGAAACACCAGACTTCTCTCTGCTGACGTACGATGGACTTCTCCAAACATTTAGTCCAACTAAATGTTTAGTCCAACTTACAACTGACTACAAATTCACATTCAGATCTGCCTCCATCCAAACAACAACCGATGGATAGAACCAAAACGTTTTTTTTTTTCTTTTTGAAAATCTGTTTCACTCAGATGTCCATCAATCACAATACTGAAGAAAAGATCTGATGTTATTTCATACATCACAACTTTAGATAGACCATACATTCTGCAAATCATCAGATTCAGGGGTTATGTTGAGTTTGGTGAAGATGTATGTCTTCAACAACACAGTAAGCTCTAAAACACTCTTCTGGACAAAATCTAAACTGAAAGAATCTAAACTTTGTTTTCTGAAGGGTAAAAATATAAAAAGTGTAAAAAACAAAAAATGTCACAAAGTGCATAACAGAAGTATCTAAAGACTTATGGACTTATGTGTAAGGCGTAAACACACTATCCTCTATTTCCTCCCTCTCGGGTGCTCTGAACTTGTGTCATGTAACCCTCCGAGACTACAAAAAAGCATGAGAGGGGAATGCTGAGGTTCAACAACTTCCTGTTCCTTTCCTCTTTGGGGCAAAGTATGGAAATCAAACTGTACACAAGACCAGAATGCCGGTAAACATTACTGACGCTCAGAACACTTAGTGTCACATATTAACTTCTACTAAATAACTGTCCTGGGTTTAATGCAAGTGATACTTTCTGGGGCACGTGTTAAATACCACACCAAAAATCATTTCAACTTGTGTCTTAGTCTGTAAAACAAACAAGACATGAGTTTACATGAATGCACTTTTAATGGAAGTCTAAGGGGCTTGTGAGAGACCCCACTGATAAATATAAAAAGGCAGCTGTATAATTTTATGTATAAAAATAAATTTACACTGTGAATTTAAAATATACAATTTAATATTAAAACAGCTAAATAAATGCTTTCCTTTCCAAAATTAAATAATTGCCCTTTATATCATCATTATACTAAAACAAATGGTTAACATACTTTCTGTTAAATATTTACTTTTTATTAGGTTGACAGCATACCTGAGATTATGAGAATTATGAGAAAAACAAAATATATAAAATTACTGCAATTAATGACATTGTTGAACAGTCTTTAGAAATTTTACTAAATTCAGTAAATGTAAAAAAAAAAAAAGACTAAATTAAATTAAACATGCTTGATTAATATCTTAAGTGCATTTGTATACACACATTTTGTATGAACAAATTAATTTATGTGCTCTATCAAAGATATGAGCCACAGACTTCTGCTTTTAAGCCCTCTGGAATCTCTTGCCATTTTTGCAAATGCATTACTGTGCACACAATTTTTGTTTGCTATTACAAATTTAGGGATGAGTTGGCATTTTCTGTGGCAATCAACAACATGAAGCTGTCGATAGCTGAACATGTTTGAGTCCGAAACATTGCTTCAACCATGTAGTGTGCAAAGATTTAGTAGACTTTTTACTTTCTCTACAGTCTCACAGCTCAAAAATCTTCTCGACCTTGACATGAAGTCCATGGGGCCCCTGATAGACATCAAGTTACTTGTTGCAAGGACAACTTCCTAGAACATATGCAATAGCGTCTAGATATGAGGGTATCACATGACTGTTAGGGAAATATAGGTCTACTCTACTGAAAAAATGCTCTCACTTTGTGCCCACCAAATGAGACATGAAAAACTAATAATTAGAGGAGTTAACTAGTATCAAAAGATATAACATGTCATTTCAAATTTGTGAAGTATAGTAGTAACATTCAATATATCACCAATGAAAATCAGATTACAGTGAAATCAGTCTTTTACTAACTAGAAACACTACACTGCAAACACAAAAGCTTAGTTTGAAACTAAATTATTGCTATTGTCACAACAAAAGTTTCAAATAAGTGAACAACAGTGATGTCAACAGTGAAAAGGAACTTGACTATCTAAGCTTTAACTGGGTGGAGCTCAATCATGTGTTGGTAAGCAACTTATACTAGTTAGTTAAAACAGAAATCTGACTAGGTGTGCTGATAATGATATCATGAATTTGGGATGTTTTCTTCTCAAAACTTGTAATGGTGTGCAGATTAGATTTAGGAGCCGTATCAACATCATCAGCATCATGACACACTACAGCAGGCAGCAGGAAGTTTGTTCTCTCTAGTCTAGATGAAAGCAGATAATGTTCCTTACACAAATGATGCAATAAATGAGAGCAACACTCACTTTGTTACTTCACCACTATTTTATCTCACTTAAACTCAAATATGAAAGATATTCTTACACTGGTGTTGGTAAAACACAAATTATTAATCATACACTAAAAATAATATTTAACTTGTAAAGTGGAGCACTTATAAGTAATTTCCAAAGTAGTATCAGATTCACGACTTGCACAAATTGCTCAAGTATCTGTTTTTGACTTTAAGGAAGACGAGAGACTTCCAACAAGAACTATGATATCGTTTGAGCAAAATGCGTGACAGCAGAAACAGACATGAGCACATTAAACACACTCATATGTGCTGTCATGCATTTTTTAATATGCAATGCATATGCTGCACATACATCATGCAGTTTCAGCTGCAAGCATATATGGAGCATCACATTATGTATTTTGTGCATTCATTGGAAAAAGAAAATAATGTGTAAATCCCTCAGTTTGATCCAAGCAGCATGCCATCCTCCAAATAAACTGATCATTTTGCAATCAAAAATATATTGTGGCTTCAAAAAAACCTTGTGCAATTACCTGGTCGACTAGTTTAATAACAGCCATATCATGTGAAACTGCACATCCAAACTCCTGGAAAAACCTGGAGGTGAAGATTCATAAAATCCAGAAGTGGCTGTGCGCTTTTTTCAAGGAAGGGTGATGCTGCACAACGATGTGGCATCAAAAGCTTGCTTCCTGCTTTGCTGTGGATCGCACCCTCCAGGGGCCCGGGGTGATGTAACGGCCGTGGCCAGCTCTGCAGGCGCTATCTTCGGTCAGCAGGAGCAGCTTTAGCCGCTGCCTCACCACCAGCGCTCCGGCGCTCCGGGAAAGAGGAAAAGGGGAGGGAGGAAAGGATGCAAAGGCTGCTGTAAACAATCCGCATTTACAGGCAATGGCATCCACAGTGATATCGATTTCAGATATGATATCCCTCTAGCTTATGTTCTGCGTAATGCATTCATTCCTTATAAGAAAATACAGGAAGTCAGAGTTTTTTGTATGCTTCCCCCTAGCTAATTTCATGATCCTACTATGGCGAAGGCCTAGTTTATGAATATTAATACGGCACCCAACTTTTCAACAGATTGGCTAAAAGGCAGACGCTGTCAGAGTGGGCGCTGTTGGGATGACCAATGAACGATTCCCATTGCGGACTAACGTTACTGAATTAACCACTGTTTCATGAATATAAATTAGGATGTGTGACTGGATGCTTCGAGGAGATTAGGATGGAACGTCATCGCAACCTAATTAATATTCATAAACTATAGCGTCACCATAGTAGCATTTCTAGTTTCGTTTCCTCCTCTGTATTTGATGCACAGAATTGTCAGTTCTTCCGAAAAGCCATCATCATCGCCTGCCTCACTGATGCCCTCGCTAGTCTGACGCACGAATGAATAATTCTAATGAATCTGTTCTGTTTAATGATTCGGTCACAACGTATACGTGAATCACTTTGTGAACCGAACTGTCCGAACAAACCGATTCGCTAAAATTAACCAGTTCTTAACGCTAGTCCTCTCTGGTTACTCGCAGAATACCGGTATGTCGTCTTTTGGAGTACATATACGTTTACAATAAAATTCAAATAATGCATTCATTATTATAATGTCGACAGTTATTCTGTTTGTAGCTTGTTCAAAGGTAAAGAGACCGCAGCTCTTCGGCGTGCGCAGAGTTTAACTCTAAAAATGTGGTTCTGCCGACATCGAGCAGAAACTCACTATATATATAATTTATACTGAATATTGCTCAGCAATGAGCTAACATCATGCTTGATGAATTCTATAATTAATGACAAATGCAGTTAAGATTCGATTCATTTTAAATTCAATTTACTGTCAATGATAAAAAAACGGATAAAAACAAGAGTAAAGTTCAGGAATTGTAGAGTTTTCAACTGTCTTTATTTTTAATTTATTTATTTGTTCACAATTCTTGCTGAACCCTATGGTTTACACATAGGTTGAAGATTGCCACTATAATGCAATTAGCTTTAACAGCTTTCATTTTTGTTTATTTGCTGCTATTCTACATTTGTATTTGTCAGCTGTACATTCTTAAAGAAATGGAAAACAGGAACTTGCCCATAATGTACCTGGAAGCAAATATCGGTGTTTGTTTGTCCTTTGCTGGATGACATCACCTAACAGACTGTTTGTATTTGTGTGTGTGTGTGTGTGTGATTGATACAGAGGCTATATTTAAACAGGCATGAGAGTTTGGGCTGACGGGTCAAAAGGAGACCACGGGAAGTAGCTGTTTGCATGTGTACCGTTTACACAGGAGGATATACTATTAAGAAAGTACACATGTTAATATTTAATGAAAACTGAGAGGTTCAAGTCACTTCAAACACATTCCAGGACTTAGTATAAAGGCTTTAGCTCTTTATCCAAATAATTATTTTATTTAAACTTTACAACCAAGGACCACTGACAAAGGAAATGGTAAAGAGAACATTTTCAGTCAAGATCAGCCCAAGCATACAGTGCAGTCCACAATAAAGCACCCCACTGTTTACGATTTCATGGAAAACAGCAGTTATCAGAAAGTGTGGATGTAAAAATGATGTTTACAATTCTCTAAAGTACGGTCTCACATTGCTTCAGACTGAGAAACTCCAGGACCCTCATGTTTGTGCAAAACCACACACGACAATCTTTCCTTTACATCTGCTATGTTGTCTGAGCAGAATGTGGGAAATAAGCAAACAAAATCCCATACAATGAATGCATTTAACTCAAGATCCATCCTTCCACAAGGAAATTAAATACAGAGAGAGACGAAGCTTTAATAGTTCATATATATATATATATATATAGTTAGCTTTAATAGTACATTTCGGTTTCACATGCCTAAGCATTTAACTATAGGTAAAAGCTAGAAATATTCACTGATCAAAGGTCTTAGTTCACACTGCAGCCCAATCTGATTTGATTTTCAAATTCAAATGTTAGGACTGACTTTCCACAATCAACTTCGCAAATTATGAAACTTGATCAGTTTGTTCCGACAACATTTGAGAGTAAATTACTACCGAACGTGTAGATAGAATAAAATCAAGACTTCTTTTGGTTGTGCTAAACAAAAATGACAGAGGAGATCATTGACCTTTAATACACAAACGTTTATTCAGCCAAACTAAGCAACATTATAATAAGAACAGATGTGTGACTGAGCAAGAGAGCGAGCTTGACAGACCAGGACACAAGTCTCAAGTTAAAGATTTACTGAAGATAAATCACATTCCTCAGAAACTCTGCTACGATCTTTATGGTCACTGTGCATGGTGTCACTCCATAAAAACAGAAAAGTCTAATCCAAAGACCTAAAAGCGTCACATTTGACATTCTGTTTTTGGACATTTTTCTGTTCTTTAATAAGAAATTAATTTCAGACCACAGAATTTGTGGCACTTCTTGTAATCTACCAGAGAACATAAAAAAGACCTATAAATCATGAATTAGACACAGATACAGGAGAAGAGAGAGTGCACATGTAAGGGTAGTTCTATTCACAGGAAGTAATCCAGCTCAAAGCGAACGTATGAGTTCTTCTCATCATTGAAGATAAGAGGATAATGTGCGATCAGTGCATCCTGGGAGCCGATGTAGATGGAGTTGTAGATCTTCCAGTACACATCACGCACTTTGCGTGCAGGATGGAACAAGCCCTATTGAGGTAGAATAAACAGTTTGCCATTAGATAAGTCTTTACAAAGTCAATGAAAAAGATAACAAAAAAGTGTGCTGATTCCATGTCTGAAGTGAAATGTACCTGCAAGCAATACTGCAGCATGCGACAAGGCCCAATTGCCACCCGCAGACCCTCGAGGGCCCCCATGACAGCTTGGATGACATGAGGAGACGTTTCGAACACATTTGGCCAAACATAGTTGAGCAAATGATTGAGAGAATCTTCACAGCCAAAGCCATAAACTCCCAGAGACATATGCTGCACCACTGCACTGGCTGTCTGCCTGTGTACAAGATCCCTGCGATGGAAATACAGAAAGTTATAGAGGCTTACTGAAAACAATCTGCATGTTTTAAGTGGCAACTCTCTTGTGAAAAGCAGTAATTCTTTCCCCAGCTTACCTGTCCATCAGAGCATCCTCCAACAAAGGTGTGACGGCATAGATATAATCTTTGCCCATTTCACCAATGTACTCAAACAGGAAGGACAGAGACTTTAGGACACCGTTCTGAACATTAAGCTCAGGAACACGGTACTCGTTCATCAATGCAGGAAGCACAGTGAAAGGCGAACAAGTCTCAGCCACGATAGCGATGGCTACCGTTGTGCACACACGGTTCTGACGCTCCTGCACCTTCAGATTGTTGAGCAGCGTGGCCAGCACATCGTGAGGACTAGAGAATGAAGAACAGAATTTAAAAATCAACATGTTCAAACCTCTAATGACAGATTCTGCGTTACTGAGATGGATTTTGTGTTTTACCCAATGGCCTTGGCAATGTAGCCGAAAGTATTGACAGTAGCTCTGCGGATGGCCTTCTTGTGGGCTTTCAACAACTCCAACAATTCAAAACAGATGCGCATCCATTCCCTGGCAGACACATACTCTGCACCCCTGCAAAGGACACGATGATGTGTTTAGGAGGCATTATCCAAATATTTCAAATGTTAAGAGCTCACATTCTGCAGGGAACTGTAGGACTGACCTGTCAGCGATTCTGCCCACTAGATCAATGCAGTTCTCTTGCACCTTCTCATGTCTGTTCTTCAAGATGGGAGTCAAACGTGGAAGCAAGTCTTTGATTGGTGGTGTCATCTTGTGCATACCTGCCAATGGGACATTTACACACTTATTCATACTCAAAAGAAAGCAAAGCAGGAGAAATAACTCAAATTTATGCAATGAACTGAAATTATTTGTTCACCGAATCCAAAACAGTAATGGAAAAACAATTTTTTAGCTGAAAACTAAAAGCAAAATAAAGTTTCTGTAATTAAGTTTGGGTAATTTTTGGTCATGGGGAAATGAGTCAGAGACAGGTTCACCTGCTGCAGCGTATCCACGTTATGTCAATCCACAAATGTCAATCAGAAAAACACTAAGCATCACTTTTTCAGTAAATGACTTCGCTCCTCAAAATTATTTTTTGCTGTTCTGGCTGAGCATTTTTGGTTATAGAAATTTGAATGCATCACTACAAACAAACGTAGGGAAAAAATGTGCACCAAAGTTTAATACTTAAGGCTGATTTATACTTCTGCGTCGGACCTACGCCGTAGCTTACGCATAGACGCACACCCATACGCCGTAGCCTGACGTGCACCTCTCCAAAAATCTAACAGCGCGTCAATTCTACGCAGACCGCAAGCGCTGTGATTGGTCTGCACGAACCCCTCCCTCCATATGTACTTGAGTTTTGTGTGTTTATGTGCACTTTAATATATTTTAATGTTACACCTTCTTATATTAAATAAAACAAAGCAAAGAACAAGTGTCTTATCATTTATTATACTACATAGCATTATACATCAGTAGTTGTATAACAAACAATGTTGATCTGCCGTGGTACAAGTCCTTGTGCAGATTGAAAGAATGCCATCATCTCCTGTTCCGTTGTTGTCTCCTTTTTGTAGTTTTAAATAATGATTTGATATTTATTTGCCGCCGTCACGGCTATAATGCTTCGCCGACGAGCCGCTTCTTCTTCGGCTTTTGCCGTGGTACTGCGGGTTACACCAGCAACATGCCCGTGGACACTGCTGACTAGCGGTTTGCATGTGTACTGCACGTTGACGCACACACCGACACAGAAGTATAAATGAAAACTGACGCATAGCCTATGGCGTAGGTCCGACGCAGAAGTATAAATCAGCCTTTAGGGTTAGGGCTTAGATGCTGGCAAACACCAGTAATGAAGCACTTTGACCAACACTCACCAATAACATTGACAATAGCTTTAAGGGCTCCAAGAATGCTACCC